CACCCCACCCCACCCCACACCACCCCGATTCGAAGAGGTAGGGACAGGTGAGATAGGTCGATCGTGTATGATACTAGTAACACTCTAGGCTTGGTTCCTGGATTTTGCACTCATAGCCGAGTCTGAGATTCCCCCCTGGTCCCACACTACCTTGAACGAAACAATGAGTCAGGTGGCTGATGGACGTGTTGGTCCTGCCGGTGATCTACACAGCCCGAAGCCAGCACGAGCATTCCTTCCGTGCCCTCCAATTGGCACATCAGGCAAGTCTCCGCGAGAAGAAAAACCTTTTACAAACCGCACTTCGGTTTCAGGAACGTGCCGAAAGCCTCATGGCTGTTCATCGTCCGCAAATTGAGATCCATGTTCTGCTGCCACGGTAAAACTTGTTTATAAAGCGAGCCTTGAACTGTCTTCTTTTCGGTCTCAGGACTGCCCCGGCTACAATCTTGATGCGGCGCTGAACACTGCCTTCGAAGAATACAACAACTTCGGGCTCGCCCAGCAGAGTGCGCAGTTCAAGCTGTCAGAGCGCGAGATGTATGGGATCAAGGCACTTAAACCCCCTCAAACCCTAGAGCCACCTAAGCCCTAAACCTTAACCCCCAAAACCCGAACGCAGATACCCGCGAGCTGCTTTACTTTGCATGACCACACCCAGGCTGCTGTAAAGCTACCAGACCTTTAAAAAACATTGCATTCGATGCCGTAGACGAATCCTGCTGCCTTAAATATTACTTACAAACCCACAACCGTATGTCTAGTAAGTGTACCCCTTTGAAAGAAAACCAGGCTCTGCTATCCGGTGTATGTGCTGAAGTCCAAGAGCTGATGGCACGACATCTTCAGATGAACACATGGCAGAACTCAGGCCCATCACTCATCGCTGCCTCGCGCAGGGGTATAGGGGGGCCTATAGGGCTTAATCTGCATTCATGCGCTTCCCCTGACAGCCTTCAACCTCGAGAACATCCGCAACGGCCGATGGTTGGTGGGTTCTTGCGGGCGGGGAGTCAGCCCATACTGGCAAGCAGTGGAAACTGTTACCCCGGCCAAACAGCTTTTGTTCATGGAACGCGTGCTTTTTGCTTTCAATGTTCGAAAGAAACAAGTACGGCAGCTCAGCACAGCCCGGGCTACATCAGAACAGTGGGAGCTGATGCTTGAATCCTCCTGCCTTCTGCACCAGCTGCTCGAAGACATGAAGGCCGCCAAGGATGCCGCCGGGGCAGCTCTCTTCGCCGACGCCGACGTCGCAAAGGCCAGGCAGCGGGCCTTGGAGGGGCGCCGCGACTGCATTTAAAATTCTCCAGACCCTTTGGCTTGTGGGTTACCGTTACAGAACTCCGGGCCTGGAGTCTCGGGTCCCTATAACCTTGCAAACCCTAAACTTCCAAAGCCCAAAGCCCCAAAAGCCTGAACCCTAAAGCGCTAGGCCCTATAATACTCCGCCCAAACCCTAAACTACCCCAAGCCGTGAACTACACGCAGCAGTGTCCCTGAATAGTTGGAAGCCAAGCACCAGCAGCTGTGGTAAGTCTTCTGAACATGATGTCGCTTTCCAAAGAAAAGCACGAATCTCTGAACACTACACCCCAAACCTACCTCAATCCAAACCCGAACCCATCCGAAACCCCAAGCCCGGAGCCCAGCACCTCAACCCACGAAGCCTTTCCCCTCAACCTCTCGGACATTGAGGGCTTAGGGCTTAGTTGCGGCTTAGGTTTTAAAGCTCTATGGGTAGGTTTCCGAGCCCTTTCAGCCCTCATGCCCTGATACAACCCACTCAGAACACCTGACCTTTCAACTCCTGCCCAGGGACTACAGCTCCGAGATCCAGAACCTGGTTGTGGCCAAGATGGACTTCGTGGCGGCCGACTTGTCGTTTTGGCAGGACCGCTGCTGCTCTAAATTCTCATATTGCCCTCACCACCACGCAGCTACACAGGTATTTCATCTCTTATGTCATGTGTCATGCTGTCATCACTCGCTACACATCAATTCCGATCACACCACTACACAAGTCTCTCTTATCTTTCATGTTGGCATCACC